GTTCAACTTCCAATCAGCATCTCCGTAGATGCCTCTAATACTGCGATCGGAGCCGTCCTTCAACAGCGTATGGCTAATGTATGGCTACCGATTGCTTTCTTTTCACGTAAACTTACCGCATGCGAATCTCGATACAGCACATTCGGTAGGGAACTTCTCGCTGTCTACGCTGCTGTCAAGCATTTTCGTCACTTCGTGGAAGGCCGGCAATTTACGGTATTTACCGACCATAAGCCATTGACGTACGCCCTCCACACTACTTCAGACCGGTATTCACCGCGAGAATCACGCCATTTAGACTATATTTCCCAGTTCACTTCTGATATCCAGCACGTTTCTGGATCGGATAACGCGGTAGCAGACGCTTTGTCTCGCGTATGTGCTACGTCCGTACCACCAACCATCGATCTTCATAAAATGGCCGAACTCCAACTGAACGATTTGAACTTAGAACACCTGTCAAATAAAACCTCACTGAAAATAGAACGCGTCCCCTTGCTAAACAGTGAGGCAACTATACTTTGCGATATGTCAACTGGTACTCCTCGACCGATTGTTCCCACGTCTTTACGCCGAACTGTGTTTGAGTCACTCCACAACCTCTCCCATCCTGGCATACGAGCAACGGACAAGTTGATTTCTGCGAGATTTGCGTGGCCCGGTATGAACCGTGATGTGCGTCAATGGACACGTGCTTGTGTGCAATGCCAACGTGCTAAAGTCACCAAGCATAACATCACGCCGTTGGGGACGTTTGCGACCCCAGACGCTCGGTTCCATCATATCCACCTGGATATAGTAGGGCCTCTGCCCCCGTCTAACGGCTGCTCGTATTTACTCACATGTGTGGATCGTTTCACACGTTGGCCGGAAGCCATTCCGATACCAGATGTAACGGCTCAAACCGTCTGTCGTGCCTTCATGGATGGCTGGGTTGCCCATTTTGGATGTCCCGCAACTGTCACTACCGACCGCGGACAACAGTTTGAATCCACAAGCTTCAAAGAATTGTTAGAGATGCTGGGATGCAAACGCATTCGCACAACCGCGTATCATCCCGCGGCAAATGGCCTAGTAGAACGTTTCCACCGTCAACTCAAAGCTGCGTTGATGGCAGTGGACAACAGTAAGTGGACAGATTCGCTACCACTGGTCCTGCTTAGCATCCGGGCTACGCTTAAGGGGGATCTGCAGTGCTCGCCAGCTGAATTGGTGTACGGTACCACCATGCGTTTACCAGGCGAGCTAATCGCTCCCGAAACTTTCGAGCCAAATTTCCCGGATACCACCCGTTACGCTCAGCAACTTAAAAGTTTTATGCAGCGACTCCGACCAGTTTCCACACGCACTCAGAACCGAAAGGTTCAGGTTGATCGGCGACTTGATGACTGTACACACGTTTTCGTGCGTCACGACGCCATACGAAAGCCATTACAACCACCGTATGACGGGCCTTTTAAGGTCCTTAGTCGTAAAGATAAATTTTTCGTTATTGACCGATGCGGCCGCCCAGACACTGTCAGCATAGACAGACTTAAAGCGGCATACACTGAAGAACCTTCACCCTCCCCATCGGCTCAATCAAATAGCCCCACTGAACCTAGTCCTTGTCCAGACTCAACTACCTCACCTCCGGTGGTGAATGATGATTCTCCTACCGTCACCAGTAAGACCCCGGTCACACGTGCTGGTCGACGTGTTCACTGGCCCAAGAGGTTCGTAGAATTCTTTCACTGAACTAATCCATAGGTAAGGCTACTAGTGATTTTTTATTCCTTGTCACAATTTCTTATTCAATTCTGCTATATTTAATCTATTTGGTCCCGCTTCTGGGAGTAGTCGTTTTAACCCTCACTAATCCTTTTAATCTTTATCTCTCGTTACAGAGGACCAGCATCAGTTTGTTTTTACCCCTAATTTTTCATCTCAATCTACTCGCTAGATCAGTTGGCTTCTCATGTCATCTTGTAACCCACACCAAAAGAGGAATTATGAACAGTATATTACCTTTCACTGCCCATTTTCTTCCAAAAAAAAATTAATTATTATTAAAAAAATTTTTTAAAAAAAAAAAAATATTAAAAAAAAAGAAAATACAAAAAAGTAAAAAAAATGTAAAATAATAATAAATAAACAAAAAATTTTTTTAAATAAAAAAAAGATTATTTAGAAAAAAACAAAAAAAAACTTCCATTGTATAGTTAAATGGACAGATATACATATTTTTTTTGCGCATAAATGCTTCACTTCTATGCTGTACATAGTAATCCGCTCAATTTATTTTCACAGCCTGTACTATATTCCTTCGGGTTTATGCCCTCCTGCAATTCATTTATTTTGTGAACCGTACTTATAAACATTATGCATCATCTTAGTTATGCACTTAGCAACATGAACAAAGTAATTTTGGTAATGATAACTACTCATAGCTATGGGTTATGTACTAACTTCTCTGTAATTTTATAAGTTCTCACAGGGTAGAAACTTCCTTTGTTTTATCTCATTCTAACGTACTACTTCCAAGTTGCACCACTTTTCCTCGCATTGATTTCGCACAAGCTTTTGTAGTACCTTTACACCGATTTTGAAATCTTAACCTTCTTTCCCATTTTCTTCTGTTTTTTTTTACCCTGCTCCTTATCATACGCTGGTATAATGATTGCCTTTAACATGACTGCTAGGTTCTGTTGAAGCGGAGGAAGGGAGCATTGGTCTAATATGAAAGTTAGACATAATGAGTCACCTTCTTGCTACGACAGCCTCGGCGCCAGAGGTTTACCATCAAACCTCCACATAAGTAAGCTTGTAATAGTGCGGAATTAAAAAAAAAGAATGAATCGATACAATAAAAAAAATATAAAAAAAAGATTAATAAAAATATGAAAGACAAAAAAAGAAAAAAATAAAAAAAAACAACATCAGACCGCAGAAGCTTACAACCACACAAGGCACCAGCGTCATTTCTTATCATATTCCGTCTTACTTCACTAATCATGTACATACCACTTCCAACTTACCTTAATTTTTTTCTCTTTTCTTTTGCTTTCTTTCCTTTCGGTAAAATTTCTTTTTTTTACTATTGCTATTTTCAAACCTTCTCATTCACTCATTGCTATTGTGCCAAGCCATCCTACTGTTGTATATCGAAGCTTGCTGGCTTCCCACCAACCTTCTAGGGGGGGATAACCTGTAGTGCACATTGTACCTTTGAACTTTTGTTTAAACTGACTCACCCACGGTGATCCACGTTTTACCTTTTGACTTGTGAGTCTTCCGTACGTTCATTGGTTCGCTCTCTTGTTGTGCTCTCTTTCTGCACACTCTCCGAGCCTACCTCCAGCAACGTCTGCAGATAAGTTGTACGACTTCTTTATTTATTGAATTTTATATTTCGTTGAATAAAATATAATTCTCCCAGGTACTCTTGTCACATCAAGTCTTTTTACAACGATACAGTTCGTCAGTATTTGCGCGTCGAGTAGTGTACTGCTAAGCTTAGCAGGTCGCAAAACGGTGAAGAAGTTTGTAAGGGTGTTTAGAGTATAGGTCCACTCTAAGCCGTAGTAGAACTCTTACACCTGTATCTTTCTGTTGCAGCTTAAAATGACTGTTAAATAATCTGACTCCTTAATACAGAAAGGTAGCTGCTAGCCCAACACTAGGTGAAATTTATGGATGCTCGGGCGGAGGACTCATTATAAACTCATCGACTTCTTTACTCATGGATACGGTAGGATAGGGTTATATGTGCATCCATACACAAAGACTTGATACTGTGAGAAACAAAGAAATACCTTAAATGAGAAACCCCAATTTCGAAAGAAGTCTGTCGCAGGTTTCGGTTGACATAACAGCTACCATAGTGTTTATCTATGACTGAATTAAATTTTAGGTACTCTGTTAATTCACGCTAGGTTTGTGGGGAAATATAATGATTGAAATAAGTAGTTTATTCAGGATGTAGATTTTTAACAAGAAGCATGTGAAACCTAAATGATAAATTACAAAAGGAACGAAGAGATGACTAATATACTGCAAGTATGTAAGCATACCTAGAAAATTTAAGAATTTTAAGACCTAAGAAATGGCATAGCAGCAGGGTTTCAACGGTCAAAGTATAAATCTAACATAGCCTAAATCCCTTGATTTGACCAGGTCAGCACGCTTTGCATAGAAGTGGCTCCCATCCGCAAAGGTAACTACGAAATATTGAACATTTCATTGGAAGTCATATCCATCCCTAGAATTTTCACGCGCTAAATCAATAAAAAATTGTTGGTGTGCTAATCTCCCATGATGATATCTGCTCAGCTAACTACATATTTAGACTCTTAGGTTTTCATCGCATTGTGTTAAGTTTCTTCTTGGGCACATCCATTTCAGAACACCAATAGTTTTCTTATGAAATCGAGGGAAGATCAAGGTACCAGTCAGAACAAAGGAATTATTCAGAATTTTTTCATATTATTGGTATATGGCACATCAGCAGCACAACGTTAGAGCGTTTGCCAACCACACAACACTCGGTTCGGGTTCCATCCTCGTCTGACCCACTGCTTTGCCTTGCTAAACCGGTAGTACGACTGGTGAAGAATGAAGGGTGGGCATGCGACTAGCAACCCCACTAGTATAAGTAAACACCACTGTTACCGAGACTTCAAGCCTCTAGTTTGAAGCCCTATGTTCGACTAAGAAAAGAAAAAGAATGAAACAATTAGTATATGGTAGTTAAACTTGATTATTACATGCAAATAGAAGTAGTTTTAAAGACTATCAAAGAAAACGTGTCATAAAGTCTGATTTATATGGAGAATATTTTCTTTTAAAGGTCCTAGAAGATAACTCTCTCAGAAATCAAAAGATAGGAAACGTTAACTCAGAATTAAAAAGTAAGATGAATGACGTTACCTTGGTATTGACGCTCACAAAGGATATTGGATATTGGTGTGACTTTCCGCTAGTTTCAACTGATACGCTACAGTCACTTTTGGTAAGGATTCTACTTTTTTAGGCTTAATACGCGTGACATTGACTTTCCGAGCTTTGCCTGGCTAAACAGTAGTTTAAGAAATACTGTTGGCGATTGGTCGTGGGGTTTGTGCAATTGCAGTAATGCTTGGCGTAGTACACGGTTCTATTTGAAATATCGACATTTCGAAAAAAAATTAGATTATATTATTTTTGTACGTATCAAATGACCTTTAGGGAAGAATTTTCAATAACTCAATTGAATATTTGACTTCCGAATAATTTAGTAACATACAAATCCAGTCCAAACTTGATCAAACATAAATATGGAAAGTTAACTCTCTAAAACTTCATTTGAGCAGCTGTTTGGGCAAGTTAAACAAATAATTGTTTGACATATGGTATATCGTATCCTCGGAGCGGCTTCGTGGCGTGCCTACTGGTGTGTCTGCCTATGCTAACAGGGTGTCTGTACATAGCTTCCGTGATGTTCGTTGGATCCCGTGCTTCGTTTGTTTCTTGTCCAGTGCCAGTCGCATCTGGAAAAGAAAACAAGGACGCTAAGAACCATGTCGAGGAAAATGTACCAAATCAGCGTTTTTTTTAAAAAATGATGTGCATTTACCATGCAGTAAAATAATGCTAAGTTTAGAACATCGAAAAGTATACATCTAATTTTTTTGGTGCATGTAACATGTACTGTTGAAGAAAAAAAATTTCCACTTATGTTTAGTGATACTGTATATAAAAAAATTGATGCATCTGAAAAGAAAAAAATAATTAGTACCACAAACGGATGAGTTGGGTGAATCACACGACTTCGTTATGTCATATAGGTGTGCAGATATTCTGGAAACCTTACGGTACGTCCAGAACGGGTTTTCTTAGGGGGCTCGACAGAAGATTCGGTAGCTGTCGCCGTGCTAGTGACTTCATCGAGGTCTAAACGATCTTCGGTTACTTGTGGATTATGGGGTACGCTTAGATCTATGCTAGTAGGATTACCCTCCAAGTAAGCCAGTTTCAGACGGTCAGTGCTGACGGTGTCCTCTCGGCCTTTCTTGTCTAAGACAAAGAATTTATCCGAACGTTTAATTACTTTATAAGGTCCGTCGTATGGGGGTTCCAGAGGTCTACGCACAGAGTCACGACGAACAAATACATGTGAAGAAGTTTTTAAACACGGATGAACAAAAACATCAATGGACGAAGGGGAGCAGGTTTAACTGAACGCATTGCATTTGTAAGCATGCTGACGTATGAAGCGTGATCTACCGCTGGTGGGAAGCTTGAGGGAGAAACAAATTCACCAGGTAGTCGTAGTGTCGTGCCATATACTAGCTCGGCGCTAGTACAACCAGCATCGGTTTTCAAGGCGTTTCGTATCCCTAGGAGAACTAACGGAAGGGATTCAGTCCAATGGGTGTTGTTTGCAGCTGACAGACCAGCTTCCAACTGTCTGTGTAGACGTTCTACCGTACCATTAGCTTTAGGATGGTAGGCTGTTGTTTGAAAACGCATGCAACCTATGATTTCAGTCAGGGCGAAGAATAAGCCACTTTCGAATTGCCGCCCGCGAAAAGTTGTTTTGGCAGATGGGCATCCAAAGTTAGTGATCCATCTTGCTACAAAGACGCGTGCGACTGTTTCAGCAGATACGTCCTTGATGGGTACTGCTTCCGGCCATCGTGTGAATCGATCGATGCAAGTTAAAATATAGGTATATCCAGGGGATTCAGGAAAGGGTCCAACTAAATCTATATGGACGTGTTCAAAACGAGTGTCAGGGAGAAGAAAGGTGCCAAGTGGGCTTTTGGTATGTCTTATTACCTTGCACTTTTGACAAGCTAAGCACGTGTGTGCCCATTCCTTTACTTCTTTATTAATACCAGGCCAACAAAACCGACCAGTTACGAGCTTGACGGTAGTTCGAATACCTGGGTGAGATAAGCCATGCAACTGTAGCCATGCTGCTGTAGCAGGAAGGACTCTGACTTCGGCGCCTGTGTCGACTAAATATCGAGTCTGGCTGATCACATCATGGATGTAAAGTAGGCGGCTAGTGCCACCGGCGACGGTTGCCGCTAACGCGTGCTGGCGGGATAGTTTCCCACAGACTTTGAGACATTTCCGAAGTTACAAGGCTTACGGCAACACTTCGCTGCTTGGCCATAGGTGTTGTGGCACCAGCACCAGTCTTGGTCTCGACTTTATTAACCACGGCAATCATCACTGAACATTGGATGCTGACCACCACTGTTTAAATGGACTTGTTTAGCTGGAGGTTTTCGGTCAAGCACCCCCGCCATTCGGTACTCCGTCCTGTCACGTTCGTGCACGACGACTAGCCAGCTATGCGTTCGTCTAACAGCTCGTTTTGGCCCGGAAATATATCGCGTAATTTGGACGATGAAATGCTGTCTTTTGTTTTGCTTTTGGTCCGCGAGATTGAAATACATTTGGAGTTGTCGGTATAAGAGCTTGGGTGAATATATTCAGTACTGTACGCAAACGTCTTTACCGTCAACCTCTAAAAGTCAATGTGCTTCACGTTTCTTCCCGCGTGACATTCCCAGTATGCAAGCCGCTATTTAATTACTTCAGAGTAGGTGTAACATGTAATTACTCCTAAAAGAGATTGTGTAGCAGCACTTCGTTTTTTTTTCAAATTATTTTAGTAACTATTGGTTGATAAAGAAAATGAAAGTTTTTAGTGATAAGTACTTCGGTCAAGCTGCTTGCGTCAGGTTCAGAAATAATAAAGTTGATTTTATATAAAAATGTAAGTCTATCCTCAAGGCTGACAGGGCATGTGGTATGAGTACTGAAGCAGTGGTAGCTGTTGTCATGGATATTCCCACAAACTATATAGGTCCAGAGACTTGGCGAGTCATAAAGAGCATCTCAAACAAACTTCAAACCTTCATTAACAACTGTCTCCGCTCAATACTCAAGATCAGATGGCCAGAAAAGATCAGCAACAGGGATCTCTGGGAGCGAACCAATCAGGAACCGATTGTGAAACAAATAGGCAGAAAGAAATGGAGATGGATTGGCCATACGCTGAGGAAACCAACAAGTGACATCACTAGACAAGCCCTCGAGTGGAACCCGAAAGGGAGGCGGCGAGTTGGTCGTCCAAGGGTGACTTGGAGGAGGTCATGTGAAGAGGAGATGAAAGCATGTGGGCAGACCTGGAGCAGGGTGAAAAAGTTGTCAAAAAACCGAAGTAAATGGAGGTGCGCAGCTGAAGCCCTATGTTCCTCTAGGAACTAAAGGATACAATAATAATAATAATAATAATATAGGTCCAGAAGATAGTTCTGCAGGTGATTGGTGAGGAATTTTTGTCAAATATCGGTCCTAGTGACAGTCACTGGCATTTTGCCAGTGTTAATTACACCATTAAAACTTAGTTATCCGGTAAACATATTTTATGTACCAAGTGGCGCTAAGTTGGATGATACCGCTCAGTCTTCTTAGCTACATGTATGTAGGGTGGTCACCATAGACCTGGTCATTAGCGCGTCGGGATAAGTAGATTATATGCCCCTGGTGTTTACGGATAGGCACCACACCTAGATTCATCACCTACTTGTCTGTCATATGCTGTGCGTCGGTGGCACAGTGGTTAGGACTCTCGCCGACCATGCATATGGTCCGGGGTTCGAGCCCACGCCGACGCACACCTGATATCTATGGTCGGCCTGCAAAATTTGGGCTACCGATATCCATGCTGAATATTCCACACTTGTACCAAAAATACGGTGTGGAATCAAGCTGTAATCAAAAATAAAAAATAAAAAAAATAAAAAATAGTATCGAGTGTAGCTGTGAAAAGTCAGTAAAAAAAGGAGGCACATCGCTTTCTGTTTAGGACAACGTCCTGTTGTCAGAAATCGAGCTTTTGCAAGTCCTTTGCAACTTAATGATACCTTTTGGTCCATTCTCGTGGTAGATTTACTTACATATTTTATATAGAATTCACTGAAGCGTTTCTATTCTTAATGCATAGAAGGGGGATAACAGCCTCTTCTAATTATAATCAGAAATTGCGTCAGCACACACGAGCCATATGTCGCTTAGGTAGTGTTTGGTTCGCTTGCCAGAAATCTTCAACAAAGTGGCAAATGCCAGTTAAATTATATTATGGCGCAGTCTACAGGACTCCAAATCCCACCGGATATTTACTTTCCCAAGGAAATGAAGGCTCTTTATAAAAATTTTTTCTCCGGGATATTTATCTACGCATACTTTGTATCTTACTCTTTTTATAAAGTGGAGTAAGAATATAAACTGTCCACGCCACTGTTGCTAGCCTAGACAGTCACACCGATGTATTGGCGTTAATAATGTGTATGATAGTCATTATAGTATTCCTTTTACCAATCCTGCAAAACTTTTGACTAATATCTCATTAGGTCTTTTGTTCTGTGTCTGACTCTCACTAACCGGTCCGGCACTGTTATATGCCTTTCTTGTTAAGGTCATCACCGATTTGTTAGGCAGAACTGTCATCTGTTTGATAGTTGTCTACGTTTAATGTGGTAAGACCACTGTTACTTTAGACGAATCGATTGTATAAAACCAACTTTAGTACTTCGAAATATTTGAGCAAAGAATATCCTTTTCGATAAATATATCGAAAAGCGTATAGTGGTAGCGTAGATATGCTATCCGAGGAAAAAAATTGGCGGTTATGTTCTTACATCGGTTGGTCATCAACATCCGTAATCGTGGCATACTCTTTGTATCATCATAATACAAGATTTGCAGGAGCTTTCGTCTACGCCTATTGTTAAGAGTGAGTTACTAATAACGAACCTGGATCCTCCGCCTAAAAGATGATTTTTTCAGAAACCTTGTTCTCTGCCTTCAATAATTAAGTTGGGTTTTGGGTCATATATTTATTGTAGAATCTGATGCTTTTATTATTAAAGTGCAACATGTCTGTGACATTATTATTATATTATTGATTTTATTTAAAACATTTTCTCTTTTCAGGAAATTTGCATTCCATTTTTGTGTATTCATATATCTGTTTCTCTGATGAATAACAAGAAGGTCAAAGATGTTGATATCATTCCCAAATCTGATATTCGTCAATTAATCAAAATTGCAAAACCACAAACTCAACGAACTATTGATCATCCTCATGCAAGATATAATCAGTTAGGTCGCATATCGTGTATTTTATGTGGTGTACAGATTAAGTCAGAATTCGCCTGGACTGCACATATTCTGAGCAAGTCACATAAGCAGGTATTTGAGAAGAGAAGATTAATAAACAATGCATATATGTATATTTTAGAATGAACTGCGTGGAGTTCAGCCTCTCAGTAAACGTCCTGCTGTTGATAATAATCCGGATGATGAAAAATCATCTAAACTAACAAAAGTTGATGAGAAGGTATCTGTAGACTATTCTATATTCATGTATGCTTGTTTTCCTTCTAGTCTGTACATAATAAATCCGATGTAAAAATTATCAAAGAAACACATGACAGTAAATCATCGACTATTGTTTCTAAAGATACAGTGGTTGAAAAAAATCCTGCAGAAAAAAGTATTGAATCAAAATCTCAACTCCCAGAAGGCTTTTTTGATGATCGATATAAAGATGCTAAGGTAGACGGTAATAATTATTGTAATACTTTAACTTTTTTTTTGAATAGGTTCGTTGTGTTCCATATAAGGATAAAATGACAGAGGAATTGGAACTTTTCCAAAAGGAAATGAATGTTTTAGAAAAGGTAATGTTCTAAAATCGATCTCCATTAATTCACATTTACTGTTCGTATAAGTCATGTAAGAAGCTTTAAACCTATGTGATCAGCAGAAGTTAATGATATTAAGACTGATATATTCACTTGTTACTCCTTTTAAAGGTATGAAAGGTATCACTAGCCTTCATTTTAACCATTCTATCCTTTCCATGCCTTTCTTATACTTATTAAAATTATGGCTTTTGTAGGGATCTGGATAATTTGAGTTTACATTTTGTCACGAACTGACAGAAGTTAGAGTTCACAGGTCAATAAGTTCCAACCCAAGAGACTGAATAGTCAACCAGGTTGGCCTAGTAACCTGAAACTTCTGCGTTCAATCTCTGGTAGGGTTGTGGGTACGTGGCGTGGAAGAGTCCCAAATTAGGACGAAACGGTTGTCCAGTATTCCTTGGTTTTCTCTGGTTCTTTAACGAGTGCCAGCTCGTGATCAAATTTAAAAGTAATCAAATCATTACACACCAACACTTTAAATGTTTATGTATTTGTTTTTGAGATTTTTGAACCGTTCAGTAATCTCACTATACAAAATTTTAATTGAGCCTTTTGAAAGGATTTTTGTTTGAATTCAGTTCCTGTAATAGGTCTTTCATGTCCCAGGCTATTAGCCACGTTTTTGTGACGGCCACTGATATTAACAAATAGGCCAAGTAGGTGGAGCGAATTCCAACCCGACAGACACTGAAAGTTGAGTACTTCAGCGAGTGAGCCACGTCTGCATACCTTTTCGAAAGGACCAAGATTATACAACCCTAATTCGTTGTATTGTTATTTTTCAGTACTATAAATTTCTCTAACCGTCTATATTTCGTACAGAAAAAAAGTACATGAGTGAACCGTAGGAAACAATCCACCCTTTAAAGTTAGTGGTACGGAATATAAGATTCATTGTTTTAAATTGATCTATGAATTACTGAAGACGATTGACTCATGTGTTATCCATCTTACAAACCATCTTAATGGATGTTGCGTCAACGGTGCAGGTTATTAGTATTATTCTTTTCGGTTCCAAGTGAAATACAGGTCTTCAGTAATACGCCGCCAATTCATCCTTTTCTCTGAACTACTTTTTAATTGGCTGCACAGTTGTCCATAAGCTTTCATTGCATCCACACATGATCTTCTCCATGTTTCCGCCGGATCAACACCCAGCTGGTCGTCTCCATTCCCAGTTACACTCGACGGTCTCCTTGGCTTGTGATGTCACTCATTGGTGTTTTTAGAGTGCGTTGGATCCATTTCCACTGACTTAGGGTATTTGTTGGGCCATAGGTTGTTGTCTGGTTCGCTACAGGGCTAGAGTCCCCTGTTGGTTATCCTTTCCGGCCATAAGATTTTCAGTATGGTACAAAGGTAGCCATTGATGAAAATCTACAACAGCCTGTTGGAAACAGTTTTGGTGACTCACGCCCCAAATATCTGAACCAACGGTCTATACAATGTTATTAACGGTTTTCTGGATATGACTTATCCCATCTTTTTCGTGTTTTTTGTGGCCAGTGTATCTTGTATTTCAAGGGGAGATGTTTTCTTAAAAAATGATTTCAATAAATTGAATGCCTATGTATATATCGTGATAAAGTTTCTAAATCTTATCTATACTTTTAAAATTTTTGCCAAGTCTTGGGGACTACTTATAATTACAATTAAAGTAGTAAGCGGATAATGTGATGTGATTGTTGCAGCAGCTTTCCATAGCTGATTTTATGTTTTAACATAGAGTCAATTATATATAAATCGATTGGAATTCATATTAATCAATGAAATGGTTACATATCCGGTCAGATCGATTTCTTCATCGCAATGGTAATCATACTAAATTAAAGAAAGGTAGTGACTAATACAGCCTGTTGACGAAACTGTGAGGTAGTCTTGATTGAGTAGAGTGATTGTAGTATACTAGCATTATACAATGATATTTTGCAGGAGAATTGTTTATTTGGTAAAATTGATGTATAGTGGTGAGAAGATACAGAAACCTTACATTGAAATTTCTATCCGGGCAAAGTTAAACTTTAGACACCACTAACAACCAATCAGCAAACGACCTTGAACGGACCAGTCACATTAAAGAGGCATATATGATGAATGGAAATGTATATTTGTAGAAAAAAACATACAATAGAGAGTAAAAAAGTTGCATGGGATATCTTTCTCGAACATGTGAGAGAAACATCTCCCAGTTTAGCATGGGACTGCCAATGGAGAAGTTACACCATATCCTGTACATATATTCATCCTAATGACCATAAATGAGATCCATTTATAGCCCTTATCCTATTTTTCAACCTGCCCCAAAATCCTTCAATAGAATTTGTATGTGTCCTCGTAACGGGATCCACAAAATCACTTGAATGGTTGACTCTATGATGAATATATCCCAGAGATGACAGTGAATTGTAGCCTTTCCACTCGTCGGTGTGTATAATTGACCCCCGCTTAACAAGTCTGGTAATAATAGGTATAAGAGTAGTTGCTTTTCTATCTGCTATCCTTAGGGTGAGAAGCGACCTAGTGAAAAAAGTTCCTACGAAATATTAAAATTATCAGCTTACTCTCTCTAGCGTTAGTAGGCTTCAAACATATAGCACAACGATGCACAAACCCATCAGTTGGTTTGGTATAGCTTTTTAAAGTCATGATACCACCACACAAACAAATTCGCTATTTCCGGAGCAACTCAAATCCAGGAAATACTGGAAAACGCTAACCTCCTCGAATTGCAACAGTAGCTTTGTAAGGTCACGCATTAGAAATGAATCAAGCGCTGTACAACATTGAACTGCGTTCGTGAATCTCATTGGATAATTCGACATTGTTCGTCAATCTCATTGGATAATTCGCTGATCGGTAGTTAGTGGTGTCGAAAGTTTAACTTCGCCTCTATCCGTATATTGTTTCTTTTGTCTTCAAACTGCATACTGTCTATATTGTTTCACAAAGATCTACGCTTATTCTCTTCACAGCTTCATCTGTTGCCCCGCTATTCAAACATTTTCGCACGCACACACACAAACAATATATACTGTTTATAAATTCTTGTCTGTAGTATACACCACACTGGAATGACTATGAGCATTGCAGGGAAAATAAGTGTTGCATCATGCGTTGGTCTGATTTGTTATCTAATCTATTAATTTAACAAACCTATGAATTTCTAGTATATTTTTTTAATGTACAACATATCCCGTTTTCAGGAGTTCATCGTGAACTGACATCGGTTAGAGAACCATTGGAAAACCTGCAGGGAGTACTGGACAGCCGTTTCGTCCTAGTCTGGGACCTCTCAAAAGTATGCATCTACTGGGTTTCGAAGCCAGGACCTTCTGGTTACAATGCTGGCTAGTAGGCCATTCAGCCACTGGGACCCGATCGAATGGCCAGTTCATGAATTCCAACTTCTGCCAATTCATCACTAGCTAATGTTATCGCCGAGTATATGTTTTCACACTTGACCTGTTGTACTCCACTTGTTACGACTTCCCTGTAGTACTGCACGTAACTACCCACCTGAATAGGACTAGTCACTAGTGAGCATCAGATTCATATTCAAGTATTGGTTTGTAGGGGTTTGATTGATTGGTTTCAGGATTTCATCATCGTGTAAACCAACGCTTGACTATCAATCGGATGCTCACTAGTGACTGGCCCTATTCAGGTAGGTAGTTACGTCGGTTTTAGTGGGGATTCGGGATCAGTGGGGTACAGCAGGTCGGGTGTGCGGAGAGACACTCGTAAGTGATGATATTGGCTAGTGGTCGTGCCATATCGTAAATTGGCAGAATTTAGAATTCATGAACTGGCCATAGGATCGGATCCCAGTTGCTGAATGGTCTACTAGCTCGCTTTGTAACCAGAAGGTCCTGGCTTTGACCCCCTAGTGTGTGCACATTGCTGAAGAGTCCTAAACTAGGATGAAACGATTATCCAGTACTCCTGGTTAGTTTTTCAATGGTTCTCTAACCGATGTCAGTTCATGATGAAATCCTGCAAAACAACAGCTGAATATCTCGTTTTGTTTAATCTTTTCAGCACTCAGAAGAAATTATGGAAAAAGAAAGTGAAGCATTGGTATCTGAACGGAATTTAGCCGAAATAAATGAACAATTGTAAGCTATTTTACCGCTTTCGAAATTCATTCTCCTTTATTTTGTAGTTATTTTTTTACAAGCTAATTCCTTGATTATAGTTATTGTTGGAGATTTGTTGAGAAATTTGAAATACCTAGTCTTGTCTTTCACTTAGCTTGGTTTATCATTGTTAGCTATAAGCAGACTGCACGGATGAGGATGTCGAAGCTAACATCAGAAAAGCAAAACATTTCTTCATCACTCTAAAATCAGTGTAGGAATCCACTGCATTCAGCATGAGAAACAATATCCTAATTTTCAATATATTAATATAACGTTACTGCATCTAGTATGTTTTAAATAATTGGCGCACACATCGCTGAGAGTATTTCCATCAACAGCTAGCTACCTTAGCTTGACACGGTGGTTCAGGTGGCTAGAAGAGATAGGCAATAAGAAAATGTCAGTGCAGTAAACCAGCCAACAAATATGCGAATGGAAATGCAGATGTATTGAACATAAGCTGAAAAGACCATTGAGTAACGTCGCATGTAATGGGCGCTCGAGTGTACCTCGAATGGGAAGCGATGAGTAGTTAGGCATCCGTGAGTGAAATGTAGGAGAACGTGTGAGAGAGAAGTGAAATTTTATGGGCAGTTGTGGGGTCAGCTAGAAATCAGTGCAGAGGACAGACTGAAATGGAGGTGCACTGCTGAAGTCCTATGTCCAACTAGAAATCCAAAGGAATAATAATCGTCATCGTTAAAATATGTTGAGAAGATATATAGCCAAGAAGTTTGTCATATTCGATAAGGATTTTGTTTTTGAAGACCTGATGATATTCAGTCAGCAACTGTTCTCCATTTTCATTTACGTCTCTCTGTATTGTATGAAGGGTGTCTGGCTTCTCGTGAAATATTCAGCCCTTATATATTACTTTTTAACATTAAGTAATATTAGGTGACATAAGATTAAGTTGGAAAGAACGTAATAGTATAGACCCATGAGGTCTTTTACTATTGGTTTGACCCATGTCGAAAAGTGTATATTGCCTCGCTAGCGGTCTTCAAAACGCTAAGAATCAATAGCACAAGACTGTTGGTGACATGGCTTAAATGCGATGTCAGTCGTGCAGATGCATTCACTCCCTAAGATCTTGCAAACCTGTTAAATTCTCATTATTCTCCCATAAATTTCCGCTTATTATAGGCCACACCAAATCAAATTTTAGTCTCATGATATTAGTTACTACGTGTTTGATATGTATCCACATATATATATTCATGTGTGTGTGCATGTTGGTCTCTCTTTCTGTTTGCTCGCTTAGTCTGTGACCATTTCACTTGTATGAACTTGTCTCCTTTATCAATGTATATTCTCCTTATATTATATTATATATAATATGGGTGTTTGTTGACAGTCCGTTGCTTGGTGACATATATCCATATATGGTGGTTGTTGACATGTCTGCTATATTTCGCTATGTATATTTGGATCGACACTCCATTATAATTAGCCATTCATGTTAAGACTGTCTAATGATTTTTCCCACGCTTTGTCTGGAACATTTATATATATTCGCATTCACAATTTGTGTGAACTACTTTACTTACTTATCACTTTGGTGTGAGACCATTTATTTTCGTCTCCTTGTGTTTGGACAATAGAAGTATCATCGCAAACCTAGTGGTCTTCTGATTTTCGCCTTCTCGCGTCAGGACTATTAGTTTCTCGACCAGTCCATAACAATAATTTAGCGACGAGTACATAACAATTTGGCGACGGGGAAAACTAGTAACATAACAGTGTTGTCCAATCAAAGTGTCCAATACCGTTATACAACTCACTGGTAACATCTCTAACCTTAGCACTTGGTGACCCGGGTTCAAATCTTTTGGGGGTCATGAGAATTCTTTCTAGATTGCTGGCGGGTGCTGAAATCTGGTGCACAAAACCTAAGTCCAAAGCGTCATTTCGATTGCCTCCAACCAACTGACATACATAAAGTCACTTTGTATTGTTGGCAATGTTGTCTAGGAAGATATAATCACATAAGCTTTGCAATTAAAACCATCATCAAGCTCAGAGTAGCTCGCCACTCTTCCCCCACCCAACCACATTTAAAGTACCAACACACTGTTATTCTCTGAATTAACTACTAGTTAATTATTTAACTCTTTATAATGAATAATCGAAAAATTATATTAACAGTTAAAGCGGCCATCGTATGGAATGGTCATAGTATTATATAAATAAACAGATAGCTAGTTACAAAAGTATTGGAATAAACGTTTTATATTAACAACAATAATATTAGTAGTAATAAAAGTATAAAAAAATTTGCTTGGTTTCTTATTCAATGGAAAAGAAAAAAGAAAACTGAGAATTTAAATTTTGTAAAAAATTTAAACAAAATATAAAACTGTTGTTGTTGTTTCTTCTTATCTATCACCACCTTCACTTAACTTTTGTATTATAGAGTGAAATGGGAGAAAATTAAACAATTGGAACAGGCAAAAGATTTATATGAAATGCGATTAAAGGAAAAACTCTCCGATAGAAGTATAAATCAATTGAAAAATAAATTAGAAAACCATATTGTTAATGTAATAAAAAAAGAAGACTATTATACTACTGCTACTACTACTACTACTACTACGGAAGACAAGAATGTTGATGATAAAACTGAGGATGAAGATGACAGTGATGAAGATATTTCCAATGAATTGAATGACTTTCGAACAAAAAATACAATTTAAAAGAAAGATATTTGTTTTCTTTATATCTTATTCTCCTTTCATTTTTGTGTAAATAATAATATGTAAATAAATTATTAAATTACATAACAGTATACTACTGATTTGTTTTTAAGTAGTAAGTGATTTACAAGAGTAATTTAAGTGCAGTATAAAGAAAAAAGAAGGTATATACACAAGTTTATATTACAAATTCACTCTTTATAACTATTGTAATTGATAATAATAATAGTGATAATATTGGTTTCCCTGCCAATGGTTAATAGTCTTTCTTCTTATGTTGTAAGATAGGATAGAATATTGTCTGTGGTTCAATGAAGACACAGATTTATGAATGTACGAATGACAGTGTAGATATTGAAGGCAATCTATATATATAAACGAATAGTAGATATGTTCATCGGGAGCTGTATATTGTCATTATTCAATATGTATATGTTGTTGGCAATTTTTTACCTCTCAATCAATACATTTCTGCGGTGATTCAATTGGTTTTTCATAACCAAAATATATCCGAGAATGCATATGTCTTCTGCCTAATAGATAATCAATTTGACGTGTAAAACCAGCATCAAAAACATTCTCAGCTAATTTAATCAATGTGCCATTATTTTCTGTAAAACTATTCATTAAATTTGTATGCTTTATTCGCCATGTAGGATTTTCACTTGGTATTACTAATGTACCATCCTGTAAAAAAATGTAAGGAAATGAATACTGGTGAGATTTATAACTATGATTATCTTTATATATATAAGTGCATCGATTAGCATCCGAATGAAACGGCTTCAACAGTCCTGTTTTCTGCAGATGGTTGATCGCAAGCTTTCATTTTCTCCTCACACTATCCCCTCTATGTCACTCTGGGACGCTTAATCCGTCGTTCCCTATTCGGGTTCCATTAGAGGGTCTGGTGTGTGGTGTCATTTAGCATTTATCTGATCCATCTCCATTTTCTTTGGCAAGTATGTTGGGCGGACGATCAGCTCTTGGTTGGTATGTTGCACCATCAGAATACCTTGCTGCTAATCCTTTATGGTCGGTCATCTTACCTTCAGTATGAAGCGAAGGTGCCTGTTGATAAAAGTCTTTAGTAGGCTGTTCTAAATGCTTTTGGTGACTTGTTAAGTCTCTGAACTCTATATAGAACTGACTGACTGACTTGACATAAGTGTTGTAAATCCGAATCGTGTTCTTCATGCCAAGCGGAGTAGATTTCCAAACTGATTTCAGAATAATGGACGTATATCTTGCCTTTCCGATCTTGGCTTTGATATCTCTACTCGTGATGTCAAGTAGTTTTTTCAGTTTTTGCTTTCTAATATGTGCGTCGGTGGCACAGCGGTTAGGACTCTCGCCGACCATGCACATAGTCCGAGGTTCGACCCTCTGCCGACGCACACCTGATATCTATAGTCGGCCTGCAAAATTTGGGCTACCGATACCATATGCTGAAAATTCCATACCTGTAGCAAAAATACAGTGTGGAGTCAAGCTGTAATCAAAAAAATTTATGAATTCGTATCAAAAAAATTTCACTGACAAAATCTTTAGGAATATGCTTTTAGAGATTTAATTTGTAAATGATACCCTTAAAAATGACTGTGGGATCACGTATTCTGAGGGAAAGATGATGACCCTTATTATTCATGTCAACTGGTTCAATCAGTCATGCATCACCCAATGTTTCTGATCATAGGTACCTATTTTCATGCGTTGGTTGGCAGAGGTTTGATTTGTCGCAGGTTTTGATCACTGCCTGATATCATTTAGAGAATCATTGAAAGTCTAAGGAGTAGTGGACAGCTGTCTCTTTCTTGTTTGGGACACCCACCGGCGTTCGGACCCAGGACCTTCGGATCAAAAGGCGGGCTCGTAGACGATTCAACCACTAAGGGGCAACCCAAGGAGCATAGGATTCCAACTTTTGTGCTTTATATATATATGCGATGTAGCATAACCGCCAACGACAGTAGACTTAATGCTTCTATTTAACATCAAATTTTCTACATTTTAACCTTTTATTTCATTCCTTTAACGTTCCGATTGGAAAATATGGCTCCAGTCTTGAGCTTTTAAGTTTCAATAGCAGTGATGTTTCTTCTTTACGGAATAGCGGTGGCTAACCACCATACACCTAAGATTTTCTTTTTACTGGTAGTTTAGGAGTGTGCATCAGCCGGAAATCGAACCCTGGACCACATGTTTAGCTAGTGAACATCCTACCATACAATCACTGAAGCACATCAGTGATTGAAATTCAACGGTTGACTGTTGTTTTTTCGTATCAGCACTCTCGATAAATATTTGTTCAATAATAATAACAACCTAAATTGAAAGCCTACTTCAAGCTTTGTTTAACAATCATATTTCATTTCATAAAATAACACTATATAATCGAACAATTATAAGTAGCCAGTCATTTGGTCATTACTGAAGTAAAAGACCAGTTACTATTACTATTACTTCTATAGGAGATAGTTAGTTGAATACTTTGCATAATTTTAGTAAATATACCTATCTACCTAATGAACCTTAATTACCGCACGTTAATTAATTAATGAAAGAATTCATGCCATTATATATATATATATATATATATATATATATATATATATATATATATATATATATATATATATATATATATATATATATTTAAAGCTATACTTTATTCATAAACAGTCCCACCGATCATGCATTATCACTACACGCTATTCGTGATTACCTCAAGTGTGCGTGTGTTGTGTAAACACACTCATTGTCTTTGCGTGTAAACTTTTGTCTACACATGCCATGTTTGTATGTATGTAGAAGAGATAACGCAAATAACAGAGAGAGAGAGAGCATACACGCTCACACACATACACACAGAGAAAAATGTATTTTCTAGTAAGTACTACTGCTTCACGTGCTTTTTTTTCTACTCTGCACACAGTTATCATTTTTCTTGTGAAATTTGAAATTTGGATATATGTAGGTAGTTATAGCATCTTAAATAAACATATATGTGTATGTACAAGTATTTACTTACATATCACTCATTTCTAGGTATTCTATTCGTGATCACTAACTAATATATATGAGAAATACAATCATACTACTAATTTTACCATTTTCTTTATTAATGCGAAATGAATCTTCTATGTATTAGTTAAAAACAATCATTCATCTTATACAGTGTATTGATTATAATCAGTAGAATAAGAAAGTCATTTCATCAGTATACCTACCAAACATACACGCATAATTTTTATCATTTTAGCTGATATGAACATACTGTAGATACGTGGAACTAAGATACATAAAATGATTATCAATTTGAATTTGTTTTTTTCTATTCCTTCACGTTCCCAGTGGAGCATAGGTCTTCATTCAAGCTAGAGACTTGAAGTTTCTGTAGCGGTGGTGATTATTTTTACGGGATAGGGTTGCTAGCCTGTCTCATGCCCAACCTACCCTCTTTACCAGTCTTATTGCTGGCGTAGCGAGGTAAAGGAGTGAGTCGTCGGCCAGGGATCGAACCCCGGACCATATGCATGGTCGGTGAGCGTCCCAACCGCTGTGTCACCGACTCACAAATGATTATTAATAATTATTGTTATTATTATTGTTTCCTTGGGTTCCTAGTGGATGGAACATAGGGTTTCAACTGCACGTCTCCACTTGCTTCTATCTTCTGCTGTACTTTTCACCTGTATCCATGTTAGTCCATACTCTTTCAACTCCTCTTCACACGATCTCCTCCATGTCACCCTTGCACTGACGTCCCACTCGCCTCCGCTTCCCTTTCGGCCTGGTTCCACTCGAGCAATGGCCTGACGCGCGCGCGATGTCACCCAGTGGCGGCCTCCTTAGCCGCGAGTGTCCAATCCATCTCCACTTTCTCCTGCATATTTGTTGGTTATCGATTAGTTCTTGTTTTGTTTGTTCCCATCCTTACTTAATCTTCTTCATCTTGGTTAGAGCTTTGTACCTTTGATAATACTGTATATATCATCTGATACCTAATTCTGATGATGGTGATGATGAAGTTTACCTGATTGGAGGCATAATTTATTCTGTGCATGCAAAAATTCAATTCATCATCGTCTACTGGATGTACACTAGTGATCCCCAATGGAATGATGGTGGTGTCCTCCACTTAAAGCAATGTGAAGTCAGTGCTACTATACGGATCAGAGGCTTGGAGCGTCATAAAGAGCATCACAAACAAACTACAGACCTTCATTAACAGTTGTCTTCGCTCAATACTCAAGATAAGATAGCCGGCCAGAAAAGATCAGCAACAGGAATCTCTGGCAATGAGCGAACCAACCCAACAGGAACCGATTGTGAAACAAATAGGCAGGAAGAAATGGAAGAGGTGGATTGGCCATACTCTGAGGAAACCATCAAGTGACATCACTAGACAAGCCATCGCTCGAGTGGAACCCGAACGGGAAGCGGCGAGTGGGTCGTCATTGCGAGGGTGGGGTGACTTTGAGGAGGTCATGTGAAGAGGAGATGAAAGTGTGTGGGCAGACTTGGAGCGGGGTGAAAAAGTTGGCAGAAAACCGAACGCAATGGAGACGTTTGGTTGAAGCCCTATGTTCCTCTAGGAATTAAAGGAAATAATAATAATAAAGCAAGCACCCATTTTTTTAGAGTGCTAAAGCTTTATCCACTAAACCAACCCTTTTAGGCTGATATGTCACAACAGAAATCGAACATTCTAGTCCAATCAATCAGTCAACGGAAAAAAATAAGATTGATTTATATAAAATAATTGAGTGGTGTGAGTTACTCACAAGGATTTATAAATAGTATATTGTGTGTGTGCTTATGAGTGATGTCTTCTGCAAGAATGCTTTGACAATGGAGTGATAGACTTAAGTTGTAAAAAGGAGAAAAAGGAAAGATCCTCGTGAAACAAAATACAGAAAGCATGAAAGGAGAATTAAGGAAGTCGATTTATGAAAAGTTTTTACTAAAATTGAAATTCCAATGTATTCAATATTGATACAGAGGTATCTCTTTGACCTAGAGCTACACGAGAAGTGAATATACTTCTCTGTTTTTTGTTCATTTTTAGAAGAATTGTACACGTAACTATGGGAAACTACTATTTCAACTACAGCAGACTTTGGTATCGTTAACATGACGAATAAATCTTAAATACCTTTATACAATTTTATATTCTTAGTCGCATATCACCAGTTTACCTATACTTGAAAGTGCTTTGCTTCAAAATATATATGCAAACAAGCGGTATGCTTAAAATTTCGGCCACCGAAAACCCTCATCAATCTCATCTCAGATAGGTTCTCTTATTCAGTTTGTTTAAATCTAGTAAAAGATAACTTCAAAAAGTATTGTTTACTCTGTCGAGTATTTAAAACATTTACAACCTGAGGTTTCACGAGTTACTACTGAATATCAGAAAAGGCATTATCTTCAATGGCAGCTTATCCTTATACGTGAGCTGACCGATACTGAGTGGTGTCCCTGGCTCATAAAATGTACTCCTGGACGTTTTATAATTGTCGTTCAACAAAATGTCGTGTATTTGTCAAAGGAGAAAATGAAGAGATATCATCATAATGGATTAGTTTGCGCTTAAGATCAAACAGAACTGTGTCACACGATCCACTGTCACTTAATTCTAATGCATGAAGGATTTCATCATGAGGTGACATCAATTAGAGACCCACACTGGAAACCTGGGAGTAGTGGACAGCTGTTTCGTCCTGGTTTTTGGACTCTTCATCATTTCGAACCCAGGACCTTTTGGTTACAAGGCGAGCTCGTAGACCATTGAGCCACTGGGACCCGATCCAATGGTCCTTGAATTCTAACTTCTACCAATTCGCGACATAGCACGATCATTTCGCAATGTTACTGCCTCATCTTCGCTTAAAATTCTGTACATTCTATAAACATATTTCAGGATAAAGCTATTATTATTATTATATTTGGGATCGTACGGAGTGAATGGTACACACATTTCTTATTGTCAGTGTTGATTCTCTTTAATGCTTCTACCAACCATTTTTAAGTATTCTGTTTTCCGCCATGAAGTGAAAACCAGCAGACATAAAGTATTACAATCAAAGCGAATAACCTATCAAGTGATCTTGTACAACCAACCATTCCGGTGATTCTATTCACAGCCTAATCTACAGTCCAATCCTGATTTGGGTTAAGGCTTACAGTTAGTATTAGGGCTGAGGTTCGGATAATTAAATTTGCTTTTATTGATTTATTTGCCTTAAATATACTATTACCATGCGGCTATTCTAATTGGTTGTAAAAGATCATTCGGTAGGTCGTTCTCTTGGGTTGTATGATTGAGGTTCAATTCTGTACATAAGTGCAACAGCCCAAGTTGCCGAATTCCATATAGCACATACAGGTAGATAAGAGGAAAATTATCATGGGCAGAAATGTAAAGGAGAAAGAATAACTATATGGAGAAACATGAGGAGTTAATGTAACTGGTAAAGTGAGCACATCCACACGAAGCCAATGATTCTTGGTATTCCTACCACCCCAATCCGGCAGTTTACATCTCTCTCTCTCTCTCTCTGTGACTGTCTGGATTGATACCAGGTTTTGATCTGACCACTACTAAATCTTTTCTGTCCTGATTCTATGTTAGCTAACATTGAACGGTATATCAAGGCATTGCTTGACACTGCATGAAACATGTCTTATCCATCTCAATTAATGTAGCTTTACAATCCAGTCAGTTGACCTACCCGCCTTACCTAACACTGCAAAATCGTTTACTTTTGGATTGTGATACTTTATGTTGATGAAGGAAAACTACAAAGATGGCAAAAATGTTTAAATCGAGGTTGTGGGACAAGCAAGATATCAGTACGGCATTTATCTGTAAAGGTGGTGACAAATATCTCCTAATCTTTTTGATGTGGTTGTGTTCTCTGAGCTGGATAGTTAATTTGCCTAGTAGGGCAATGAAAGCTTCGCAAATTAACTATCCAGCTCACAGAACACAACCACATCAAAATTATCCACCTGAGCTACAAATCTTCTCCATCATATTTAAATCTTCTAATCTATCTAAAACACTGTATTACAACATATCATATCATTTCAAAATACTTTTCTTTGGTTTTGCGTGTTCTAAAAAATGTTGACAATTAATCTATTAATCACAATATATACGCACATATAAGATTTACATCATACTTCAACTGATAAATTGTCAACATATATTATAGTGGTTATCAAAGTAATCAATACGTAAACATCGTTATTTGAATTGGGCGCCAAGTAAGATTTTTAAATACAATTAGACAACTGACGCAAACAGCATAAAGTGCAAACCTATAACTTTTAGAAACTTATGATCTACATTTTATTGAATAAACTTAGAATTTTCAAGAGGTGGTTTGTGTAAGGATTAGATTTGTTTTTACGAGTTTTACCATGGATTGATATCAGTTAGAGAAGCATTGAAAACCAACACTGGAGTGTTGGACAGCTGTCTCATCTTATCTGGGAATCGTTGGCATTACGCACCCACAAATCTAATCCTTATAAACCAAGTCTTGAAAATTAATCTGATGCTCACTAGTGACTTGCTGGAGGATGGAGTTTCCTGGAGTTCTAGTGAGAAGTCGTGATCAGTGACGTCTAACCAGTCATGTGTGAGGATGGATGTCCCACCGATGACATTGGTTGGTGGTCGCGCTAAATCATGAGCTGGTAGAAGTTAGAATTCATGGGCTGGCCATTGAATCGGGTCCCAGTGGTGGCTGAATGTTATACGAGCTTGACTTGTAACCGGAAGATCCTGGGTTCTAATCCTGGCGGTGGGTGCATACTGCCGATGATTTTCCGAACTAGGACGAAACAGCTGTGCAGTACTCCCTGGTTTTCAGTGGCTCTCTAACTGATATCAATCCGCGGTCAAACACGTGAAAACTCGGAGTTCTCTGATTTTAAGCTTTCTTTACTATTGATAAAAACCTTTACATTCATTTGAATATAATTCTGTGATGTCGACATGTGCTAGTGGTTCAGTGATAAAATTTTCATCAGTGAAGCAGACAGTCAGTATTCGACTGGCTTCCAATGCACTTTTCATCTTGGCTTTACTAACTGGAAAAAATGGGATATTAGGCATGAGACTGACAGTCACATCCCGGTAAAAACAACACAACACCGCCTCCATCGAGACTTCAGAGCTTGAAGTTTTAAATTCCATTAGGGATGCATGGAATAAGAAAAAAAGCTAGTCTATTTAGATATTACTTAGACGAAAATCAACACTGAAAGCAAAGTTAACAATTAATTGAATAATTAAAAGGAAGGAAAATTGTAATAATTCTCACTTTTTCTAATAATTCTCTAATTCGTTTCATTCTTCTAATTGTTGGTTGAAATTCAATAACTAATGGGATTATAAAATCATCTGATCGTGGTCGAATACGTTCAATTAACATTTCTTCATAGTCTGTTTCATCCCAATTGACAAGATGGATTTTAATCTTTCCAAAATAGTTAGCAATCAGTTCATCAATCTATACAGTACACACACAAAAGAAAAAAAAACAAATACAAAGAATAAGAATAAAATTCAATGTTAAATAGGTGGAAGTGTGTAATTCAATAATGTTCAACGAAACAACATTAAATGGCGGTCTACTTAAGTCACTAGGCTACCTAGATTTTCTGTCCATAACAATAAACTGTATGTACTCCGTTTTGTATTGTTTTAATCATCTAATTATCATAATAAGTTGTATCCAATACTCGCGCGCAATTTCAAATAAGTCTCTACCTATCGATTAGAAAATTTCAAAGGATAAACGGCATTGGAACGAGTTTCGAATGGAACAATATTGCTACAGACAAAATATTGTCTGAAGATTGCGAGCATGGAGTAAATACCTTGCCACGAAACTTGCTGAAAATTCTGTATTATGTCTAAATTCACTTTTCAAAATAAGGCTATTTATTGTTGTTATATTAGTTAGAGAATCATTGGAAACTAGATAGTACTGGAGAACCGTTACGTCGTCATTGGGGAGTCCTTAGCAGTGCTTATCCATAAATCCACCAGGGACCGAACTGAAAATCTATCCAAAATCACAAAATTTCATGCCGGATCGGCCGTGGCCCGGATTAACAACGACCGCGCTTCCTGCTGCCGTGTCACAGGGCAGGAGTGATAAGTATGCTACTGAGGCACACCAAACAAAAGAGAACAAACAAAAACAGGCCGCGTGTGACTGACCTCAAGCACTTGTCCCCTGGGCTCTGCGGTCACGCAACCAACTTCCACGGTGTGGGCAGTCGGGAAGTAACAATCGCCCTCACAATCCGAATCCACTTGGGCAAGAGTCCTAACTTCAATCAACAAAGTATAAGTGGAAGCACTTTCCTAATTTAGACGTTGAAATTGCCATAAACTCAAAAGTAACGATTATGTTTAAGCGTAACATTCATTAGTACTAACTGATACATTGCTGTGTCTCTTTACAAATTAAATATATGGAGGGTGATTTTTATATATGTATCGATTGGGAATTTACATCTCTGGGTTTGTGATACTGAATTATGTAGGCGGTGACAGTAATTACACTTGAAGATGTACTTTTTTGACAAAGGCTATTTAAAACTGAACTCTTACTTATAATATTCTATTGATTAACTGTCGTTAACAGAAGCTACTGTGTCATAACAATATGCCATTCATTAACTTGTATCACTGCTTTACTGTCTACCATATATAGAGAATTTCAGATAATTTCCAAGCATTAGTTTGTAGGGATTTGGTTGATTGGTTACAGCATTTCATCATCAGCTGACAATGGTTAGAGAACCACTGGAAAACCTGGGAGTAATGGACAGCTGTTTCGTCCCAGTTTGGGACTCTTCAGTAGTACGCACCCACCGGGGTTCGAACCCGGTTTTAAGCTGTGTATTATTAGTGGAGAATCCTAAAGTGTAACAAAGTTATTATTGTTCCTTTAGATTCCGAGTGGAACATTTAGCTTCATCAGCAGCACATCTCCATTTGACTTTGTTCTGTGCAGTCATTTTTAGCTGGCTTTACGACTCAGGCGTGCTCCAAATCACCGTCGAATCAACACGTAACTCTTCGTTTCCCATTCGGGATCCAGTCGATGGCCTACCACGTGATTTCATTTAACGGTTTCTTCAACGCCTATTGGAAATGCTTTCTGCAACGCGTTCACCAAGTCTCTGAACTATATAGAAGGAATCACTGACTTGACGTTAGTATTGAAGATCCAGATCTTGTTCCTGATACGTTGGGCGTGGTAGATTTCTACATGATTTTCGTATGAACGAAGGTGTGTCTTGATTTTACGATTCTGTCGTTGATATCTTCATCTGTACCAGTTGAAATAATGCAGCCTAAATATTTGAAAAAGTTGACTTCATGTAGATTTCTCTTGCTGCTGATGATTAGTGCTTGTTTTTGTTGGTTAGCTAAAACAAAGTCGTTCCTGATTATTTTTTTTAAAGACAAACAATTTTCAGAAAGAAGACAAAGTAATAAGTTTGACAGGGTGCTTCAACTAAACTCTAATCCTAAACACCATAATTTTGAAAATACGTCTAATCATAAAATTCTAGATGCTAACAGTTTGAACAGAAATGAAGGCTTGATGTTAGCTGACGTATAAGAAATCCTGATTAATAAATAAGAATGAATAGGTATCAGTAATTAATAATACTTGGTCAAAGTTTCCCGACTGTCTATATCTACTCATGAAGACGTTAAGACATTGTTTTACAACTGTTTACCCGCACACACACACACATACACACACTGTGTTTAAAGTGTTTAACAAAGGTAGACCAATATTTGGAAGTCCGAGGTCAAATTTTGATCATAGCTCATACAATTTTTTGTTTATTATACTTGTTAATACTTGTTTTATGACTCATGATTGGACAAAGTTTTTAAAAATAAGAGATATTCCTTTTATATATAAGCCTCTGTAATGTTTATTTCGATTAATTTCCTTGAAGAAGTTCGGACCAGATTGCCGAACACAGGAAACGTTGGAATTACTCATTTCAATATCGCTGAGGTTTTACAAATATAATTTTTACAAACAATATTCCCCTGAAGGCGTGTGATGGAAGTTTTCAATGTGATCAGATCTCTAAAGCACTATGCATGCACGCGTCGGTGGCGCAGTGGTTAGGACTCTCGCCGACCATGTACATGGTCCGAGGTTCGATCCCTTGTCGACGCACACCTGATATCTATGGTTGGCCTGCAAAATTTGGGCTACCGATATCCATGCTGAAAATTCCATACTTGTACCGAAAATACAGCGTGGAATCAAGCCGTAAATCAAAATTAAATTAAAATCAAACCCGAAGACCTTCATAGTATGAGACGAGTACATTAGTAGGTTGAAATCTAATGATACCATGAATACTGACTTCATGAACAGTTTTCAAAGCATTTGTAAATATAAGGTAATACACTTAAAACCAAACACCGACATCACCACCACAACAACAGGAACAACCATCTTTTGTGATGAATTCTTAAAATGAAAGAAATATTTCACTTTTAAAAGAATACAATTTAAAGATTCTTACTATTTCGTTTTTCTCAAATCACTAATCATCTGCTCTATCACTCATTTTTTCATATTATTCAAAATTTTTAGGTCATATGACTCACATGATAAAGTATACGAATTAGTATTGTACTTATCTTCTTTTGTATTACCGCAATTCACACATGGAATGTAATAACAGACCATATTTAAAACTTATATTGTTAAAATGTCAATCAATAAAAGGTGTCAGTATATATATATATATATATATATATATATATATATATATATATATATATATTCTAGTACAAGTACATCACTCAATGTGGTGGATTATGATTTTATGCGTGTGTGTGTGTGTGTGTATGTGTGAAAATATTTCAGTCTTCAATAGGACACATTGTTTATTTAACCTAGAAAGTGTTTTCTGACAATTCTTATAATATATTATAATATATGCGCTTTTATAGCGTCAAGGCCTCTCATGTATTATCACTTAACGTATAAACCCTGGTGATACAATTCCACTTTTAAAAATTTTATTATTATTGCTTTGGGTCCTGTGAGGAACAACACATCTCCACTTTGTTCCATTTTTCGCTGTCCTCTTTAGCTGGATTCACGATTGCTCGTAATCTCTCATCTCCTCCTTGCACGATCTCCTCCATGTCACCCTTGAACGACAAACTTGTCGTTTCCTATTCGGGTTCCATTCTAGTGATGGCCTGGCACGTGATGTCATTCGACAGTCTTCTTAGTGTGTGCCCAATGCATCTCCATTTTCTCCTCGGTTGGTTTGGTGACAGTTATTTCTGGCCAGCCTGCCATTCGATCTTCAGTATGCAGCCAACGAAGTTGGCAGCTGTTGATGAAAGTCTGTAGCCTGTTGGAAATCCTTTTCGTCACATGCAATGTAAGTCTCTGACCGGTAGAGAAGAACTGACTGACTTGACATTTGTGTCGGAAATCTGAATCTTGTTCTTAATGCCACAGAGTGCAGAAGATTTCCAAATTGATTTCATATTGATGAAGGTGTTAATCTGCGTTTCCCATCCTGTCTTTGACATCTTCATTCGTTCCGTGTGCCTGTGGTTGAAACAATGCTTCCTAGATAAGTGAGGGAAGTGACTTCTTTCAAATTTCTCCTATTGATGGTGACTGGTGCTGGTTGTTGTTGTTGCTGTTGCTGTTGCTGTTAGTTGGTTGTCTTCATCACTTCTGTCTTCTCTGTGTTCACCTGGAGTCCTGTCTTTGCCGCTTGCTTCTTCAGCCAGTTTGTTGGTTTTCGTTAGTGAGTCTTCAAGTCTGTGTGACATTTAACAAAAGTCATCTGCAAAATCCAGATCATCTAGAGTCTTCCTACTTGTCTTACTCCTGTAAGACAAGACTGCTTATTAAAAGTTTTACTATAAAGCTATTTTCAAATGATTAAATTCCTCTGAATACCTCATCGGAGCAGTCTTCCATCCTTGTCGTTCACATGATATATATATATATATATATATTCCTTATGTTCCGAGTGGAATATACCACTTCAAGCTTTAGAGTTTCAGCGGCGTTAGCATTGTATTTCTACAGGATGGGACAGCTGCTAACAGTACACCCAACCTACCCACTCTTCTGGGTTTACTACCTTTTAGTGAACTCGGTGAGGTTTAGGAGTGCTGGAAATCAGACCCAGACCTTCAGAGTGATTGACGAGAATTCTATCATTGAACTAATGACGTCAATGGAGTTCAGTAATGGAATGAAATGATGAACTAGAGGAAAGATTTGCTACTGGAGTGACAATATCATAGTTATTATGTACAAGAGAAATAATAATTATGTATAAGTGAGTATTTCGTTGAATAAAATCATAACACAGAAGAAAGATTACTAAGTAATTTATTCAAAAAAGTCTTACACAAATGTTAAACGTAATAGTATGATACTGACAAGTTTTCGTAATAAGTGTATTCTGTGAGATATTTTCAATAGTGCGGGGTCTTTATTCACGTGTAGATTTGTAGTCAACAAGGAAGACATAAGTTAGAGAAACAGGCGAGGGGGATCTACTAGATAGTCGTCTGTTCCTATATTGGTGGTTATGGGTGTGTACTCCTGATGAGTTTCAAGTTAGGACGAAGTCCAGTAGACCCACCACCACCATGACCACGGGTTTTTAATGGTTCACTAACAAATTTCAGTTTTTCATCAAAAATCAAGTTCATAATTCGCAAATTGGTTAGAAATTTGAAATCTACACAATTCGAGTGGTGAAATTTAATCTTAGTTTCCTTTGGAAACCAAAATTATTCAGATCGCAATTCGTGATCTACATGAGACCATAAAATGGTATAAAGAATAATTATTCTCTGGTGGATCCTTGCCTTTTGGCGAAGTCTTCCCACTTTCGAACAGAAAGAAGCGTGTCCCGCTCGTAAGATCAAGGTATCATAGAGAAGATTTGTACTTCAATTTGAAGTATGCGCCGAAGATGTTGCCTAGTAGGGTGGTGAAAACTTCGCAAATTAACTATCCAGCTCAGAGAACACAACCACATCATAAAATGGTAATTAAGAAAGCAAGCATATTTGTATAAAGCTATATACTACTGATTGATTGAGACGAGTAGGTGCATACCGCTCATATCAAGCAGTAGTACACACTTTTGTCATCAAGGCTGACATTCTCCTGTTAACTACAAATCTACACTTGAATAAAGACTCTCTATCGATTGTTGGAACTCACTTGGATTAGATTTTTCATGTTCCAGGCTATGAGCCACACGTATTGTCTGTGAGTTAGCTGATTGTACTTACTACACAGTTATGCAGGCTGAAATAGTTGGAGTGGGATTGGAATCTGAGAGTCATTTGTCATAAGTACAGTGATTGAACATAACATAACATAGTAAAATACTTTATGATAACTAAAAGTAACCAACACATACATCACTCATAAACGCGTATAAAAAATAATATAAATATATATCGCACTAACTTACATCACTGCTTGCAATAATCAAAGAGGAAAAATCAATTTCTCCAGGTTTGGCTGTCATGGCATAGTCTAAACATGGTGATATATCATCTGGGGAACCGCATATAAGGATTTTTTGACGAGGAGAACCTTTTAAAAGATATAAAAATTCAGAGGATAATAAGTGCTCAAAATAAGATATTTAATTATATCATTTTATATGCATAGAATGTTCATTGAGCATGCACGTGGTTCGGGGTTCGATTCCTAGCCAGTGCACACCTTTACCTCCCTTAACCGACTATAAGTTCAACAAAGAGGGAAGGCTAGGCATGAGGCTAGCAACCCCACTTCATAAAAAGACATTACTGTTATGCAAACTTCAAAGCTCAATCTTGAAACCCTATGTTCCAGCCGGGACACAAAAGAATAAAATAAATTAAGAAATAATATACATAGACACTAGAAAGTTTTCACTGTTTATCAGGCCTCTTTAAAATGTTTCTAAAGTAGTCAGTTTTAAAAGTTTTACCCCCACAGAGTTGAGAAATGTGATAACTAAGCGATAGCTGCAGATACACACATACACACAAATTGTCTACTACGTCTGTATTCAGTGTATCAAGGTTCATGGTACTATCCAGTTTTCTAGGCTTAGAAGGATAGAATGTATTGAAAATAATGAATATGATTCCACTTGATTATTTGATGGTTATATGGGGTTGTGCAGGTTAGTTGTGCAACACACCTACTGAAGGGATACACTGAATTCGATCGATAATGTACAGGGATTAAATGTTGTTTATAGTTATGCCCTGAAATAATGTAGTAGTACATACTACTGATTGACATAAGTAGTTGGATGGTACTCACGGCATACAGAAGTGATGTAAACATCAGATGACCGTTTCGCTAGTCTCAGACTGAGCTCATTATCGGTGTATCAGAAGTGATTTATCTCAGATAGCTAAATAAGATTGGTAGGAGAGGAAGATGCTGAGCAAGTAGTGAAATGATGTCAAACTGACAGGGCAGGGAGATAATTTAACACATCGTGAATAGGATCATGATTAGATGAAGAAAATTTTTCTGCATACAGAACTCTGACTTCTCTGTTTCGATGGTAATACAGAAGAGCTGGATAGGTGATGCTTTTAGCTGATTAATTTTCACCTTTTAGATAAATTTTAAATGATGTTGTGAAGAATAATATGATCAGTGTTGGCCAGATATTCAATTATTGTGCTTCTTATAGCTCCATTTCCACTTCTTCATAACCATACAGGATATTGTTCTTAGACCTTATTTTTGACAAAACCCAACCCCAAGAGCTGGCGAGAAACTCTTTTTCATGGATTGTGAGATCCTCCTTTGAATTCAAAGTTCATTTTATGGATACGGACGTCTGATCTGATGCCTCAGTCGCCATTGTGCCGCTCTGATAATCTAGGTGCCACTGGCTTGAATCTTTCTCTGATCTAAATTCTCATTTTATGTTAATGTTTAGCTTTTATCTAGTACATTCTTGCGTCTTTTTGCAAACTACTCCTAAGTGAGATTCCAGAATATACTCTTAGTACATTATTTAAGCAGAACTGTTTTTCTCTCAACAATGAATGAAATACTGGAATCTTTGGTATTTGTTATTTCACGTGATTTCATACTAGGCATTATCCTGAATACTTGGACGTTACCTCTTCATACTTTGTCAGTAATAAAAAACAAAACTGACATTGTCCACTCTGATATCACTTAATTATTTGTAGAGTTAACTTGCATTCTTTATTACATTATCTATGAGTGTTTATCAATGCAGATTGACCTACATTTCACATTAATGTTTATATATAAGTTACGCAATTATTTACATATATTTGTATAAAACAAAAGGGTATCATCAATAAACTACCCTGGAATAGAATACATAATCATGTAAATCACATGACTTTAATCAGTCACATAAGTTAAATTAATGATGAATTTGGACACTTTTTTTTTAAAAATTCTCCAAGCTGTTTATTGTTTTTCTCTTCAATTTTTACATGCTTGGTGGTGTGATTAGTGTGTACTTAAGTTTACCTTAAGTACAAATGTGCAGTTCTGAGAATAAAATGAAGGGTAATCAGTTTATATACAATAATGACAGTCTATACATATTATATAGTCAAAGGGTTGGAAATCGACACTTAATGCCTTCCATTTCAGTTGTTCTCCATTGTTTAACAGTTAGTTGGCAAGGCAGAATACAATGAATGCCATAGGTATAATCTATAAAATTGTTCTGAGATATTTCCAAAGTTTTACATTAAATAATGCAAGTGACACATTCATTTGCTTTCTGACTGGAACGCATCACTTTAACCTTTCACATGAAGTTTCAGTAGAGGCAATTACTACCAGGTAGTGAACGAGACGAGGTTTAAGGAGTACATCAACCAGGAGTTGAACCTGAAACACCATGTACATAAATGACATGCATTCCACCACTGAACCATCGATGAAATATCCAAGCTATCGCTGGGCGTGGTGGCGTACGTCTGTAACCTAGCTACTTGGAGGCCAGGGTGCGGAATTTCGCGGGACCGGGACTACTGGTATATGGCTGCTCATGTTGATCGGGCGTCCACGCTAAGCACGGTGCCCATATGGATGACCTGTCGGAGGACGGGTTTTCCAAGTCGACTGAGGAGGGGCAAACCGGCCCGGGGGAAACCCAGCAGGCAAAAGTCCCTGTGTGGTGCGGTAGCGGGATAGCGCCTGTGAATGGAGGCCATATGACAGTCCAGTGCGCGCGCGGAGACCGCCTCCTATTTGGCGTCGGTGGCACAGTGGTTAGGACTCTCGCCGACCATGCACATGGTCCGAGGTTCGATCCCTTGCCGACGCATTCCTGATATCTATGGTTGGCCTACAAAATTTGGGTTACCGATATCCATGCTGAAAATTCCATAGTTGTACCAAAAATACAGTGAGGAATCAAGCTGTAATCAAAAATAATGAAAAATAGAAAATCAGTTTAGACCGATTTTAATATAACCGCCCAGATTAAATTATCAAACATTATCAATGTGTTCAGCAGATGAACCAGCGTATCATACGTTTATCTACAATCTTTTATTCGTCTGTTTATGCTTAAGAAACTATTTTTTCCGCCTACTTATTTTACGTACACTATAATTTAATATCAATATTATTGTACTAACATCTAGACAATTTTATTCGATTTCTAACTACAATTGAACTCTATCTTTACACTCTTCCTTTGTTTAAATGAGGGTTTTATTTACTCAAGGTCAAGTCTACTTGTATACAGCGTCATAAACAAATAAAAACAAACAAAAATTAAACGAATATAATAAACAAAGAATACTGATTGAAGTCTGTATTTTTCTGAATGATTTACTTGATTTTCAGTTAACGTCTGTCTCATTGTATACTTTGTTTTTTTTAAATTTATGACTCATTTTCAAAATGTGTCTAGTCCAAATTACAGAATATATTCTGTAATTATAATAGTCATGACTATCTATTTTAAGGTCTATAGACCTTAAAATAGATAGTCATGACTAGTATAATTCATTGTACAATTTGAATTCATCGATTGTCGCTTTAGTTTAATTTGACGGTATTTAGAAATTTAGACTATGGTTTTGCGGAGGTATGGATTAATTCCAGTTTAAATTTCGTCACAAACCGACATCAGTTAGAGATTATTGAAGATTAGGAAATACTGGACAGCTGTTTCGTCTTAGTATGGAAGTCTTCAGTAGTGTACACGCACGTCCTCACCAGAGGTCGAATACCAAACTTTAAGGTTACGACACCGACTAGTTAATTTGCTAAAGTGGTTCATTCTACTGAAGTTTGTATTTTCGTGGATTTTATTTAAGGTTAATGAATATTTTTGTATGTATATTATGAAGGATGGAGATATTACTGTAATTTTGACTGGTTTGAAAATTTTGCACTTACGAACATATCGATAGATTTCTCAGGTTTGCATGTGTGAGGAGGGGTGGGGGACGAAAGTCATGTGTTCAGACCTTGGTGATGTTGACTTAACTCTGTAAGTCAATTTGCAATGTGATGACCAGTTTGGTAAACTCATAAGCCAATGAGATTGTGAGGCTACATCAATTGAAATTGCGTCGGTGGCACAGCGGTTAGCATGCTCGCTGAGCATGCACATGATCCGGGGTTTGATCCCCAGCCGACGCACTCCTTTACCTAGCTAAACCAGTAATAAGACTGGTAAAGAGGGACGGTTGGGCATGAGACAGGCTAGCAACCCCATCCTGTATAAATAATCACCACTGCTACAGAAACTTCAAGTCATTAGCTTGAAGGCCTATGTTCCAATGGGAACGTGAAGGAAATAAAAAAAAGACACTTTCTGTTGCATATATCAAGCCACCGGCTTCTTCGTCCGACAGTGTCAGCTGACGTAAGTTTAGGTTGGAAAAGGGTTATGAGTAGCCAAATTAAAACATGATATCAGTCTATGAAGTCTTTGACAGTTTGTTTCGAGCTAGTCATGTAGAGGACCCTGTAGACCGTCTGGTTGCAATGCTAAGAACCAATGACTGGAGATTATTAGTGATACGGCTCGAAACCATTCTCAGTGTTTAAGATAACTTCACTCTCCTCATGTTATTGCATATTACTATTCTTTCTCACATAGATTTCTGCATCTCATCGTTTCTTCTTTGTTTTCCCTAATTTAGTTTGTTACATGGAGTGTGACAGGTTGAACGTCTTCACTTCTCAGTAAAGTTCTATTGTTGAAATTCAGTCAATTGAAATTCAACATTAAACTGATAAGAAAGATTTCATATACTACTAATGCCTCAAATCATCATATTTCTTCAAAACAGGGATTTGAATTAATCTATTACTATTCAGCTGAATCACATATTCAGTTTTGATGGAGAAGATTTGTAGCTCAGGTGGATAATTGTGATGTAGTTGTGTTCTCTGAGCTAGCTGGATAGTTTATTTGTGAAGCTTTCATTACCCATCCTGCTAGACAACATCTTCAGCGCATACATACTTCAGTTTGAAGACTTCAAATTGAAGAATCACACATTCACCACTTAAGCTTATTTTCAACTTACATACCTGAAGTGGGATTGACCAAAGAATGTCAACTA